AACTGGACTGGGACTTAAAAATCTCTCTTGAACACTTGTTCAATTAAAAGGTGATACCCACGGTGCGGGTGGAGAGCTAGGTGAAAGAGATGACATTTTTTGTGAGTTTGAAGTGGCACAGCTCCAGTGTGATCCATTGCCCCTCCGGGTTGGGTAGAGGTTGAAGGGCTCTTTGGAATGTATTTCTAGGAGGCAGCCCCTGAGACAGAGGGGGAGGCCTGTCTTTCATATCTCCTCCCAGCTCTGTGCCCTTCCAGAATGCCTGTCCCCAAAGTTCCCATTCTCTCCTAGCCTCTCCCCTAGTCCCCCAACCATATATAGGGGAAAGGGGCCAGATATAGCCAGCAGCTCTTTGATTGTCCCGCCCTGGCCTGAAGGAAAGACCTCGATGTCCATTCCTTCTCAAAGTCTTATCATCCTATCCCCATTTCACAGGTATAGAAACTGAGGCTCAGAGATGTCACCTCCTCCAAGATAACAGAACCTGTTTGTGGAAGAGCCTATCGTTTGACCTCAGAGGTTGTCAGTTCCTGGGGGAGCATGAGGGTGGCTGCAGTTACAGCCCAGACAACTTACAGGCCTCCTTTAGCAACAAGCAGGTTAGAATTGTCCTTAGAGTGGCCAGGAGGGGAGAGAAGCAGGCTCATTTTCCTACCCCACTTCCCAGAGACAGAATTGAGGATGAGTCCAAGGTTGTGGTGGTGGGGCAGTGCCCACCAAGTTGATAGGAAAGTCCTCAATTCCCAGGTCAGGGTTCATACCCACTGGTCTCTACACAGAACATGGGCTGACTGGCATAAGACTGGACAGTCCCGGGTGTCTGCCAGTAAGCTCTCCTCCTCACTAAGGAGGGCTGACATGGTAGGATAGGTGTCAGGGACTCACTCGGTGGAGGAGGGGAGTGGACACTGTGAAGGTTTCTGAGCAGGGCAGGGCAGGCTGGGCACGGTCGTGGGCACTGGGGAGCAGGGCCACGTTAGGGCAGCTAAGCCGAGAAATGCTAGGGAACCGGGATGCTCCACGGGAGACTGCCGCAAGGACTTCTCAGGCGAAATCAGGACCCCCGGGTGACATGAGGCCCCCAAGTCGCCCTGCTGAACCCGCTCAGATTAAGCCACAGTCAAGTTCCTACAACTTTACCGCTGTGCTGCCCAGGACTGTGCGCCGGGGGCCGGGTGCAGCCAGGGGGTCAGGGGCGCACGCAGCGCGGGAGTGGGCGTCGCGCAATGTCGCCAAGTGGGTCACCAAGCAGAGTGGCCGGTGTCCCACGCTCCCCAGCTGAGCTCCCACGCGAGCTGGACAAGCTCCACGGCTTACCTGCCCGGCCCCGGCTCGGCTGCCGTTCCGGGGCTGCACGCCTGCCACTGCCGCCACCGCCACCACTGCCACCGCCACCGCCACCGCCACCACTGCCGTCCTTCAAGCTCTAAGTTCGCTCTCGGATTGAAATTCCTCGCCTGCTTCGCCCATCGATCTGAGCGCGCGCCCCGCCCCTTGCCGCGCGGCCTGGGAGGGGGGCCGCTTCCCGCCGCCCTCCCTCCCTCCCTCCCTCCCTCCGTCCCTTCCTCCCCCGCTCGCCCTCGCCACCCGCCCGCTCCCTCCACCCCCTCCGCGGAGCAGTCCGGCTGCGAGTGCCTCGCTCCCTCGCCTCGCTGTCCGCTCTGCGCTGCAGGTTCCCATCACTGCCCGAATCCGAAGCGCGGCTCCCGGGAGGTGGGGGCGGCCTTGGACGCTCAGAGGGGCATCCTGGCAATCCTTCCACACACACCAAGTGGGAGGGGGCAGCTCAACCTGCAGGGGCCTCGCTTGACACCACCACACCAACACCAAGACCTTCGCAGAACCTGGATCCTGGGGTTGATCTGGCCCACATCCCACACATCTGGGACTTAGGGGCGCAGAACCACACTTCTTGGCTCCAAATTTCCCCATCCTTCCTTCACTCACTCACCCGAACCTCTAGGAAGACTTGGGGCGGGTGCGGGCTCTCCAGGACCCTTCCAGCTTAGCCTGGCATCCCGGATGTGTGGGCAATTGGGTGGAAGCCCCAGGAGAGAAACCGAGTCAGGGCCACCTCCAAGGCTTGCCCCAGGCCACCCACTCTAAACCCCAGGAACTTGTCACTCTAACCAGCACATTCCAGTGACAGGGTCCTGGATAAGTCCAGTCCTCAGTCCCACCCATGCTTACCGCAGATCCTGCCCCCCCATCCTCCCGCGCTGCCCCCTCCCCGCTTCCTGTCCCCCTCTAGCTTCCCGGCCTCAGTACCCCCGGCACGCTCTGTCCGCTCCTCTGCCTCAACCGCAGCTGGGCAATTCACCGAGCATACAAAAGAGTTGACTCAATTCAGTGGCAGAGCAAACCAAGATAAATCCTATAGTGTGTGGGGACCGGAGAAGGGATGTGAATGAACGCCCACAGCAGCAGTCAGCCTTGTATGGACTGGCCCAGCCCCAGGGTGGCAGGGCTGGGCTCCCACCTGGCCTGGGCACCCATACGAACCCCAAGGGGGGGTGTTCTGGGCTCTTAGCTCCCTTTCCCCCTGCCAACCCTTCAGAGCCCAGGCTGAACTTGGGAACTGAGTGCTGTGTGGCCTCCCAGTTCCTGCTGGGTGGGGTTCTTAGGAAGAGACAACGAAGGTGGGTAAGGACTGAGTCTGGAAAATGCATGACTGAGAAGGATCAAGTGGGACATCTGAGATGTATACCATCACAGCCAGGGCTAGGGCCAAGGCTACCAAGTAGATTCTGTTCCAAACCCAGGCCCAGGGACCTCTGGTAGGAGATGTGGGGCACTCTTCCTTCCTAGCTGTGTCTAAAAGGGCTACCAGCTGCAGACCTTGAGGGAAAAGCTTGTACCTGGGCTTTCCCTGGTCACTCTTGGAAGGACCTCTGGTCTGGCTAGTCCTGTGCAGGGAGTGGAAGGTGCCTAAACCCCCACCATCACCCTCAGAAGATAAACCCCTAGAGGCGGGTGGCTGACTCCCCACGTCTCACAGGCTCCCCCTGGTCTGGTCCTGCACCAGCAAAGCCCTGACGGATATGGCAAGAAACAGGCGCTGAGGATGTGTGTGGCTTATATACCAAGCTTTGCTACAGGAGGCACCCCCAGGTTCAGTGATCCTGTCTTTGCTCTGATCTTCTACAGGGCTGACTAGCAAGCTGGGGTCCAGTTCCCTTGAGCACTCTTGACCAGCGCGGCTCACATTCCAGGCAAGTTTGTGGCCCAGCTGGGTCTGGAGCAGGACTGGAGGCCAGCTGACCCAAAGGAAGGAGGCTGCTGTAGGGAGTTAGGTCCCCCAGACTGTATCTCACCTCCCCCCCTCCCCAAGTCCCTCAGAGAGGTTGCTCTGCCGTTTGCCACCAGCAGTCCAGGAGTCCCATGGGGCAGACCCTCCACCAGGATGGGTTTCCTTGTAAGCCATTAATTCTAACACAGAACCACCAGAGAGCACATCTGTCAGGGACTCACGGCTGTGTCCCACACCCCTTGTACCTCCCCCAAACCCAGAGCAGTGGAAAATATGTGCCACCTCAGATCTGCTGAAGAGGGCTGGGGATGGTATCAGGGGTCTGACGGTGAATGGGGGACGGGGAAGAGGCTGTTGCCCTGGGGACAAAGATTCCCAAGCTGTTTGGGGACTGGACTCTGCAGTACCCCTCCCAAGAGGGCAGGAAGTGCCCATCTTCCCTTTCTCCACAAAGGGTCTGACCTGAGCTTTGGGGTGAGGTGGGAGGAGGGAAAGGGCACAGAATCCTCCTGCGATCTCAGAGTGCTGGAAAGCTACTCCAGGAGGGGGACAGGACACTTCCTCCTTCCTTCCCTCACAGGCAGCCCAGCCCCATCCAGGAGCTTTGGAGGCCAGTCTGCTCTCTACAGCCCCTAGGCTGCTGTGAGTGAATGTGTCACTCCTGGGCAGCTGGTCGGGAGGACTGGAGGCTGCTTGGGGGAGAGGATCCGCCCCCCCCCCATGTCTGGCAGAGAGGCCCCAGGGACCTCACACCAAGCATTGCCTGAAGGAGTTCGAAACAGTGCTCGAGTGTCCAGTCCTGCCTGGGCCATTGACCCTGGAAGCCAGAGTCCAGACTCAGGAAGTATGGGAACAGAAAAAGTTAGGGGAGGGGGTAGGTGACACCTTGAGGCCCAAGAAGAAAAGAAAGGGAGGAGGGCAGGGGCCAGGCGACAGAATGGGCCCATAAGAACTAAGGGGTCAGCCTCTGGCTAGGGTCCGGCTGCAACCGGCTGCAACCGACAGCCAAACCCAGCCCCGCAGGTTTTCCCAGTCGGGAGAGGCGCTTGTCACCGCTGCCTATTAACCGGGTCTTTCCAGGGAGCCAGACCGAGCCCTGAAACGCAACTGGAGTGGGGGTGCAAGTCTTACAACACCCTTCCCAGGGCTCTAGCAGCTGAAGAGCAGCCCACTGGGCAAAGGCGAGGTCCCCATCGCCCACTTTCTCTCCTCCACCGACTAGGAGAGGGGGGTTAGATTGGGGGTACAGCTTCTGGGCCAACTTGGGGCGCCAGCCATCCCGTGCACTCCCTGGCAAAGCCACCCTTTCCCTTTGCTGTTGGTCCTGGCAGGTTTCTGCTCTCTGCGAGCTCAGCAAAGTTTCGGGGTCCCAGCGACGCCTCCTAACCCAAGGGGGGGTGGTCCCAAGCTTGGGTATTCCATCCGCCGATTCTAGGAGGGAAGTTTGTCTGGCCTGAGCTCCGGATCCAGAACTTCGGGTGCGCCCGCCTGTGATCGCGGGTGGGTGGGGGGCTCCAGGGAGCCTCGGATTTTACCGGCGAGGAAGGGACTCCACTCCGGCTCCGAAGCCCAGGGCAGGGCGCGGGTCGACTAGGGTGACCAGAGCTGCTGGAGCCGCTGGGGACTCCCGCGCCACCCGGGAAGCCGCCGCGAGAGCATCATCTCTGCCCCTCCCCCCAAGGGGCGGGGACCTGTGGACCCCACGTCTGCAGCAGAGAGAACCCCCACCCCCCTGAAGACCCCATCCTACCTGGACCCGGGTGCGTCCCCGGGGCTGCAGACTCGGTCACCCGGGAGCAGAGCGCGCGCGCCCTGGTCCCTGGAGCGCCGCGGTGGCGGTGGTTTCCCCGGCTTCCTGGTTCTCTTCCTCCTCCTCCAGGCTCTCGCAGGCTCCAGACAGACCCCCTCCCCCTCCCTTGCTGCCCGCCCCTCCCCGAGCCGGCCGGGCTTGGGGATCGGCCTGTCGCCGGGAGCGGAGCGGAGCCGGGCTGCGGCGCTCACTGCGTCAAGCTCCCGGCACAGAGATCCGAGCAGCCCGGAGCCGGCAGGGCAGGCGGGGCGGTGGCAACGGAGAAGGGGCCGGGCGGCTCCGGCCGTGGAGCTCGAGCGCGGATGCCGTGGCAGCGGCCGCGGCGACGCGAGGTGGTGGCACATTTTGTGAGCTAGAGGCAGGTCGGACGTGGGAGCCGCGCGGGGAGGGGACCCGAGCAGGGGTGGGAGCTGCTGCACCGCCGTCAGTGGCCGAGGTAGGGGGGTGGGGTGTCCTCGAGGCGAAGTTGGCTGCGGGGACATCTAACGAACAGTGGCACAGCCTCGCCTCCTTTCCCTTGTCTGCCCCCCGCCCCCCCCCGCCCCCTGCCCGCGCCCCAGACCACAGAGCGGAGCGCGGTGGAGCCGAGTCCCTGAGTGTCTAGGGGTTGGGAACCTGAGTGGTGATGGGAGGTAGGGATGTGAGGCGGGGATGTGCACACGCGCGAGTGCACAAACACTTGCAGACACACGAAGCCTTGTAGAAGTTGACCCGAAGTCAGACCCTGTGTAGGCGTAATTGTCACAGCACCACCCGCAGGGACTGTGTGTATCACAGGGTGGGGAGGGCTGGGGACAAGGGGTGGTCAGGAATGCCAGGGGCTTTCTCCCCCTCCCCCAAGGTCGCCGACCCCCTTTACAGTCCCTCCCCTCCGCATCACTTGTCCCCACCCCCTTTGGGCTCGGAGAACCACAGGCTGAGATCAGCCGGGCACCTTCCCTGCCCTGAAGGTTCTGTGTGAAGGATTCCCTTCCCACTAGCCTCTCTCTGGATTCCCCCGGGACCTAAAGTCGCCCATCTGGGGCTCTGAGCCCCAGGTCCCCCCAGTCGTCCCAGGAGCACTTGACTGAGCCGGCCACCTTGCCTTCCACTCCCCACCGCGCCCCTTCCCCAGCCGGCAGCTTTGGCGTTGGGTGAAAATTCCAAATCAAGTTCGAGAGCGCCCTCGTCGGGCTAAGGCCCTGCACGCAGCTTCTGAGGCGCTTCGTGCCCAGCTGGGGAGCCTAGGACCCCCCTGGGCGCCAGACTCTTAGATGCCTGCTGCCAGAGTGGGCACCCGAGAGCCGCGCTGCAGGGAGCAGCGCCCAGCTTTCCGGAGGAAGAAGACCAGCACCGCAAGGAGGGGCCAAGCGTAGGCAGCAGCCAGCAGAGGGGATGCTGGGGACCTGGACCACCCTTCAGGTGTCATTTCAGCTGGGACAGACTTGGGAATGAATGGTGTCAGGCTTGGAGCAATATGATCAGGGGACCATGATGGGCACCCGGTGCTCAATCCTGTGGCCTGTTCTGCAACTTTTCCACAGCAAATTCTGCCAGATCCCCACTTCACGTTTCCTTGGGGATAGGGGTAAAAAGACCCCAGTTGGGACTGGGGCATGGAGAAAAGTCCAGTCATTCCCCTGAATTCCTGGACCCAGAGCTTGATGATCAAGAACAGAGCTGTCCTGTCATTACCCTTGCTCCTGGCTCTGAGACCTCCAGGGGGTCGGGGCTGTGGTGAAGGCTCCTGGAACCTCTTTTCCTAGACCCCTCAGAGCCTAGCTCTCAGTAGCCTAGATGGCACACCCCGCACCCGTTTTTATCACTTTCCCCCTCCTCAGCAGGAATCTGGTTCCCCTGGAGTTGGCCCAGCAGCAGATGCTGTTCTAGCAGTGGTCCTGCATGCCCCTCCTCCCCAGCTACAGCTCTTTAAGATGTTGAAACAGAGGGAAGGGATACTGCCCCCACAAAAAGGCCAGGCACCCCTCCGGCTGAGAATGGGAGGTCCCAAGACCAAACTCAGGCCAGAGTTGTGGAGGGGCCTATTCTCTCCCTGTCCTCCCCTTCCCTTCCCCCTCTCCAAACCCTGCCACCAGCAGACACATAGACACATGTACTCCCTGCAGCTGGCATTGTGGATACACTGTGCCCATACACTCACAGAACACAGCCTTACATCCTGGTGGGCACACCCTGTAACTCACCCCCTAAGCCCACCACCACCAGGAGCATCATCCTTTGACAGGGAGGGCAGGAACCCATCACACACCCAGAGGGCCTGTGCAACCACTCACCAAAGCACCCCACCCTGCTCCGGGGTCACACATACCCAGGGAGCGGCAGGGAACCATTGGAGAATCTGTGCACACATCTGATGTGGGACTGCAAAAGCCACTCCTAGGAATGGTTCTCCACAGGCTGTTTGTGACTTGGTGAATCCCAGTAGATTAGGGCAGCTCAGGAGTACTTCTAATGTCTCCATCTCCATTTCACAGATGGCACTACTGAGGATCCAGGATTCATCCGGAGCTGAATTCATAACCAGGTACAGGGTCCAGCCAGAACTGAAGTCCAGACCAAAACTGCTGTTTCCCCTCCTCTCCCTCTTTTCCTTTCCCCTCCCTCTCTCCCTCCAACTTCCCCTTCCCTCTCCTCTCCTTCCCCCTCCCCACCTCCCCTTCCTCCTCTTCCCCCTCCTCTTCTTCCTCATCCTCATTCTCCTCTGCTTTTCCTCCTCCTCTTCCCCCCTCCTCCTCTTCCTCCCAGTCCTCCTCTTCCTCCTCATCTTCCTACAGGTTCTCACTCCGTAGCTCAGGTCCATCTGGAACCCCCAATCCCCCTGCCTCTGCTTCCTGAGTACCAGAAATACAAGCCTGTGCCACCAGCCCCAGCTTGCCCGTCACATCTCCTTACCTGATTCCACAAGTGTTCCTGCGCCACACCTGCTCAACACACACACACACACACACACACACACACACACCACACACACACATACCACACATGCACACACCCCCCACACACACACCACACATGCACACACACACCACACACACACACACACACACACACACACACACACACCTCCTCAGCAAGGCTGTGTGGACAGACCCAGGTGCAGCAACAAGGACTGTCCGTGCTGAGTTGAGCAGATGAAAGGCCTGGAACTGATTCAGAGAGGTGTGCCCTCTCCTCTGGGCACATGTGGGACCCAAGGACCACTGGCCTTCCTGATGCCCAAAGGGATCTTGCATGCCAGGTAGAGACCCTACCAGGGAGGATTGCTTTATATGCCACTGGGTTGGGAGATCCTGTTTTCATGGAACACAGGGAAGAAACACTGTGGATGGTGTTAATTTGGAGGGGCATCCCTACACACTTTTATAGGAAATGTTGTCCCCAGAAAAATGGTGACAATTCCTTCTGGACCCAGACTTTCACTGACAATTGCAACTCCATAAAACTCCAGAGTGACAAAAGAAACACTGTCCAATTCACATCCCAGGGAAAGAGCAGTTTCCCCATATATAAAGAGTACTTACAAATCAACAAGAAAAAATGACAAGGAGGGGAAAAGTTGGAGAGGTAACAAACAAAATGAAGTAAAAAGGATGTTAAAACAAATGAAAACCACTCAATCTTAACAGAAATGCAAATTAAAGCTAGACATGATTGTTCATGCCTGAGACAGGCAGAGATTAGAAAGTTTAATGGTGTACTCTGAGGCAGATGCTCTGGGAACCTTTGAGACAATGTCAAAATTCCAAAGCCACACACCTTTGGCCCGGCATTTGCTTCTAGGAATGAGTCCTCTAGATTCACGCCACAAATGAGAAAAGTGATAGATTGCCATGAGCAAGGTTGTCTGCCAGAGCTGCCTGTCATAGCAGTAGATCCAGTAGATTGCAGGCTCCTGAACACCCATGGGCAGGGAGGGCCTGAAGGGATCACAGCTGACATGGAGATGATCTGAACCCAGTTCCAAGGCTTTCCAGCCAGTCAGTCAGTCAGTCAGTCAGTCGTCAGTCAGTCAGTCAGTCAGTTGTCAGTCAGTCAATCAGTCGTCAGTCAGTCAGTCATCAGTCAGTCAGTCAGTCGTCAGTCAGCCAGTTGTCAGTCAGTCAGTCAGTCGTCAATCAGTCGTCAGTCAGTCAGTCAGTCAGTCGTCAGTCAGTTTTTGCTGTCCTGGGAACTGAACCCAAGGCTTTGCATATGTACAAACACCTTCACTGGGCCCCCCGGCAGGAGCTCTGCTACTCTGCTACATCTTCAGCACCTTTTAATTTTTTATTTTAAGATCGGGTCTTGCTGAATTGCCCAGGTAAGTTTTGAACTCACCTGTGGTCCAGGCAGGACTTGAACTTAAAATCCTCCTGCCTCAGTCTCCCCAGTAGCTGGGCTGACAGGCCTATGCCATCACACCCAGCTCCCAGATTTTCCTTAGAGGGAAAAAATACAATATGCAGACTGGTATAAGCAGGATTTTTTTGCATTTTTATAAAAAAGGGACAAGGAAGGACATTTTATTTGCTGTGTGCACAGGCTGAGTCTTCAGCCAGTTCCTGTAGGGAGTTATGGGCAGGCGCTAGGAGGGATAGGAAAAGGGATTCATTTTTAATGTGTTATTCCTATTTATACAGACAATAAAATGCTGAGGTCTGTAACTTTTTTATAGGTCTATGTTCAGCTGTGAACATAGTGCTAGGAGTTCCTTTTTATTATTTATTACATCTATTTATTGTGTGTGTGCATGCAGACATGTCCCACATGTGCCTGTAGGAGTCACGGGACAGTTGGAATGAGTTGTTTTTGTTCTCCACCATGTGGATTATGGGGATTGAACTCAGGTCGTCAGTCTTGGTGGCAAGCTCCTTTACCCTCTGAGTCATCTCGCCAGCTCTAGTGCTAAGCTCTGACAACTGTGTACATGCGTCATAAACTCCACCTTGGTGACAGTAATAAACATCATCATCACCCTAGACGATGAAACCAACTTCACCAGATAGCGTTGAATGACATTTGAATTTTCGGCAACGTGCAGACATTTCCTCTTATAATAA